TATAAGGACAATAGTTTTGTTAGATCAGGACCCATTCTAGTGATCTAATTTAAATGTATTACCTCTGGAAAGACCCCCTTTCTAAACAACATTAAATTCTGTGGTGCTGGGGCTTGGGGCTTCAACGTCTTCCTTTTGGAGCATATTATTTAACCCATAACATTGTAAAAATATGTAAGTACCCATAAAATTGTAAGAGTATGCTACCAGTAAGTTGACATTTTCAAGTACAAGTTGTTATTTTGTTCTGGATAAATAAAAGTTTGGATTGATACTTCATTTTATTTAACTGTTCCCTCCATCATTTAGTATGTACTAAATTACAACTCTGCTAGACATTTTCTAACATTATGAGATTCTTGAACTTGAATGACAAATAAGTTGCATCTTATTTTCTTTATTATTAAGAAAAGCTAGTATTTTTGTTTCATTATTAATGTTGGTAAGAAACCACAATAGTATTCTCAGGACCTGAACATTTTTAACATAGATCATTTCATATTACATTATAATTCTTACAGATACTTCAGGAAATAGTTTGTAAATCTTCCTACCATGACAAAGTATTTAAGTTGATCACAGATCCACTGAGAGAAACAAGAGCAGAAGAGGTGATGAAGCAAAGCAGGTGCAGGACACTTCCATGTACCACTATGGAACAGGAAGGTGCGCAAGACACCAGTTGTCTTGGGTCAGTCTTGGTTCCATTACTGACCAGGTGGTCTTTCAATCTCTCTGGGCCAATTATCATAATTTTCAAAATGAGCCCGCTAAGTGTCCTTTATGTACTAGAATTAACTAATACAGCAAAGCTTGTACAACTATTCTTGGTATGTGTTAACTATTCAATGAATATTTGCTATTTTATGTGATTATGACAATATAAACTACAATTACACTATTCTACCTCTACCTAAAATAGAACAATAGCAAAATCTCACTGAATATGTTACAGACTTAAGTAAGGAAACGTGTAGCCCAAAACACGGGTGTCTGTCAAAGTAGGCACTTTCTAGAATTCCTGACATACCATGGTCCATAAAATAATTGTACTCTGCAGAATGCCAAAGAATTACTAAACAAGACTGGATCCCAAGCCAATCTGAGAATTTCCAAGAATCCTCTAGGATTACCCTTGCTCCCAGGTCCCATCTGCCTGGAAATTTTCTCTAATTTCAGGATAACCATAGCTCCATGGGTTCATCACTGATATCCTGAAAAAAGATTTCTCTTATTTACTGGGATATGCAAGTGTGTCTGTGTAAAAAGGTTTTGTTCATTTCTTATAAGTTATAATTAATCTCCCTAATTTATTATAAATTATAAAAGATATAAAGGAACAATTATTCTAAAAAAATGAGGAAGTGATTAACAAGAATAAAGAGCACAGGATTAAAGTTCACATTCTACTGTTGCTGTAGTAGATGTCTTAAATCTCCCAGAGATTGCTTCCTTCTCTGTGAGTCAACTTTACAATGGTGTGATACAGGTTGAATGAGAAAATAAAACATAAAATTACCATGTAAATGCAAAACAATTTATAACTAAGTATTGACCTCTCCATATGGATCTGAATTAATCTTCAAACAATTAAGAAGACAGAGTTTCTTTTAGCATATAACTTTCTTTGGTTTTATCATTGCTTCTACCACTTCTTGGTCATTGTGAGGATTAAACAAACTCTACAGTAATAATACTAATATTCATTGAGTCTTTACTATGTTCCAGGACTATGTGAGGATTTATATGCATCATTATATTCAGTTTCTTAAATGTAAGAAACTAGGGTATTTCTATTTTGTTGGTAAGATAACTGAAGTTGAAAGAATGTAAAGAACTTTCAATGTGGCCCTCCCTGGTGGCGCAGTGGGTTAAAGCACAGCACTAAGAAGCTAAAGCCACTTCCGCATGAGTTCAATTCCACCTGCCCAGAGGTGGCCACATGGTGCGGCAGACCTCTCCTGACCCGCCCGCTGCTCCCCTCAGCAGTGTACTTCGTTGATCTGCCTGTTCTGCTCCCCACTCCTCTCACCCCGCCCTGAGCCTCTGGCCTGTATCCCAGTTCTGTATGCACAAATAAATAAATCTCTAAAAAAAAGAAAAAAGAAAAAAAAAGACCCTTCAATGGTCTCACAAGTCAATGTTGAAACTAGAATTTGATTTCTGATATGCACATTTCAGCTGTATTCCCAAAGCACAACTGTTACCTGCTGAATAACTTACTCTCACAGAATCCTCTCACAGAGGACATGGCAATATGGAACTACAGGGATTGTCATCATTAATAAATATGTGAAAACTAAAGTTTTATAAATTTCACATAAACTACTGTTTAGGTATTAATAAAAAATAATAAAGCATACTTCTGGGCCCTCCCTGATGGTGCAGCAAGTTAAAGCACAACACTAAGAAGCTAAAGCCACTTCAGCATGAGTTTGATTCCCTGGCCTGGAGGTGATCCACATGGCATGGCAGACCTCTCCTGACCCGCCCACTGCTCCCCTCAGCGGTGTACTTCATTAGTCAGCCTATTCTGCTTCCCACTCTGTCTCTGGTGAATCCTCTCACCACCTCTACATCTCTGGCCTATACCCCAGTTCTGTATGCATAAATAAATAAATAAATCTTTTTTTTAAAAAGCATACTTCTACCCTAACTTTCTGTAATAGCAACTATTATATTATTTCCACCTATTATGTAAAATGCATGACATACTTTCCATTACTAACTATTTTTAAATTGAAAATACACATTCTTAGAAATCATATATACTTTCCAAATTCATATCTTTGGAGGAAATGCATCTTAGTGGCATTAAAATAATTGCATTTTTCTTTAAATACACTAGGCATTCAAGTCAGAAAGAGTAAAAGAAAAGCTGCATGAGGTAAAGGACAAAGCACAGAATCAAACCAGTTAGGATTTATAAATCCCTATTTCACCATTTATCAGCTTTATCACCTGACAAAGTTAATTAGTTCTTTAAGTTTCCATTTCTTTATCAATAAAATGAGAATACTACCACCTATCTCACTGGATTTTCATAAAGCATAAATGTCATAGAAAGGGTACTATTAGAATAGTGCTAAACAAGAAGACTGCTCATTCACTTTATCTTCTATCCTATGCCACTAAAGGAAAACACTGTGATGGTGTCCTTGACTGGGAACACCACATAATAGTTTCACTGAAATTACAGATCACAAGTCATCTCCATGAAACTACTTAGAATACTTGTGGCTAGCCACACCCACAGACACACTAAATTCTAGAAGAATATTTCAAAAGAAAAGAAGGGGAAAAAGGTACTCAGGAATGTCACTGCTGTGACTGTTCCAGACACCTAAGTTTAAGAGAAGTAAATGGACCAGATATAGCAAAGGAATGTGTACACTGGGGGCTGGGAATGCAAAACTGCTCTCTTCCTTACTCTCAGCTGCCCCAAGAGATTGGGGCCTTGCCCTTCTAAGAGCCAAGGTAGATAGTGCTAAAATTACCAACTGTATAACATGAAATGGACTAGGTCCAAAGTCTGGCCCTTCCACTCACTAACTACTATCCAGAAAAGTTGCTTCAACCTTCTAATCAGTTTTTCCTTGGGCTTTATAATGATAAACTCATGAAAATATTTAACTCCTGTCCTGGAGTGGTGCAAAATTAAGTGAATTACACACACATGTTCATATATATATATATATATATATATATACACACACATATATATATATGTATATGTGTGTATATATATATATATATTATAGCACAAACAGATTAGTAAAGATGCAATTATAGCCTAACAATAATAATAAACTATTAAATTATATGGGGAGTATTATTGCCTGATTAATTTTCAGAACCTAGGGCATTAGGAATTTAAGCTGGTGTAAAAAACCAGAAATAAAGGTCATTGGGACCTCCCACCATTGTCTCAAAACTCTTGGCTGGACATTCACTGTAACTCCTAGCAAGGTATGGAGGATCCAGGTCAGCTTCAATTCCCTATTAGGTGATTCCGAGGCTTTGTATCAAAGCTTGGGAAACCCTTATGTGTCACTGATAATCTCCAGAAACCTTTCAAGACATACCCACTGGGAACTTTCAGTCCCTGGCAAGTTTCTCTGGGCCACATCCAAGCATCAGTACCTCAAGAGAGCTTCGCAGACCACACACTTCAGCTCTCCCCTCTGCTCCTACCAGCAATATTTCTAGCTGAATTGATTTAACTATTTTACAGTTCTGCTCTTGCTTATGTTAAAGTTATGTAAAGTTCCATGATTTCACATGTTTCAGTTTGTTCTCGAGATAAAAGATAAGTATGAAAGAAAATTTAACTTTATCCAAAAAATCCCAGATGAGCAAAAATCAGTTGTTGAGGGTCTGAAGGGAAAAAAATATATTAGTATCAAGATTACTATCAAGAGACTTTATTTTTACATGGATCAATAAAGTGATAAGCTGCAGTTTTAGCTAAAATAACATTACCCATTAATGTATTTTGAATATTACTAATGAAGTACTCCCTCAACCTAGGTCATAGAATTTACCAACAAAGTATTATTATTTTTTTTAATTTTTAAAATTTCAGTTGGTTAATGGTCACAGGATGCCTGTAAAACAATGCAATGAAAACATTCAAAAATAGACATTAAGTCTTACACAAAAACAAAATCTCATATCATAAATTTAACTTTATCAAAAAATAATAAGCTAACTGAAAACTTTATGTAGTTTAGTGTAAGTGAAATTAAACCCAACATATACCATTCAGGATACTGTGGACACATGGTAAATCCAAATGTACTAACACAAGTAATTCATTATAAAAAACAACCGTATGGAAATTATAGAAGATGCCATACAATCAGTACATTTATAGAAATGGTGATTGTGATTTCCCATTAATCTTACACATGTACATTTATGTTATGCTACATATTACATAAGAAAGTATCTCTGACAGCATTCTAGGGAATTTTCTGCTAAAGAATTCTTTTACTCACCATCCTTTAATCTTTTGGTAAAGATGACGCTTCTTGAAGAAGAGAACTTTTACGGGAACCCAAATCAATAGACTTGCTGAAGCCACATAGGCAATAGAACAGGAAACAATCAACCAATAATGCGTTTTCTCAGAGTTATTCATTATGTTATGATAGGTTTTAGCAAACTGTTCCATTACCACAAGTGTGGGAATAGAAAAGGCAGCCAACTCCAGGAGCTCAAAAATCACAAGCTTGATTTTTTTTCCAGAAGGCATTGTTAGCATCCTCATAGTTTGTGAGCTGCTGACAAGCAAATGTTCCGGCTTCAGTTGTGAGTAGCATATGGACACAGTACTGAACTAGGATCAAGTTCCTTGTACTCCAATCACTAAACAGTGACTTTTTTTTTTTATTGACCCTCATATGGTTCAATGATCTTTCAACTTAACAACGAAGTTCTCTTAAAGAAACAGCAGTTGTGGAGGTGATCACTTAATGTGTTTGTATAATTGTTATCAGATGTCAGATGAACCTCTGTACATACTCTGGAACACTAGTAAAAATAGATTTCTGAAATGTGTTTATTGCTAATTTAGCACAAAAAACTTATTTAATATTTAACTATTCTTAAGTAGAACACTGGGATAATATAACTTGAGTTAAAAGGGAAGAACACATGTAATTTCAATCCTGTTTTATAGCTCAGGAAATTCAGACAAAGAGATACCCACCATCCTTTTCAAAGAGTAGTTTTCATCTTGGAAAACTACTCATCACTTTTCTTCACAGTGCTTGAAAGGGAGCTTGGATTCACTGTGCCAACTTTCTAAATAGACTGTTTCCTGGTACATGAAATATTTGTTATTGCACATTAATTGCAATATGACATAGATTAATGTTATTTTTATTTTTCCAGCCAGGAAACCAACAGGGTGATATTAGGAACCTATTATCAGGATTAACACATTCAGAGTTATTTATATCTAATCCAAATATTTGGATATACACATCAAATATTTAAAAGACAACAACTGATTGCACAAATAGTCTACCTTTGAAAACCACTTTTGACCCCCTGTGATAAGCAGTTTGCTACATGTTGGGATGTGAAGATCAATGAATGACAGAAAGTTCCTGCCCTAAAGATGTTTATAGGTCAATGCAGGAAACTAATCTATGAACAACAACAAAATAACACAGGTATTGATTATCTGCCTTGTTAACAGACATTTCAATTTTTGAACTATGGGAAGAGAAGGTAAGATGAGAAGGTTGGGTGGCAGGTGTTGGGGGATGAATATTTTCAAGCAAAGCCAAAATGGCAAGAATGGTTATGAAGAGTTGGTGTGGCTGGCAGGAAATAGGAGGAAGGTAACATTAGAAAAGTGACTGGGATTAAAATGTAAATGTCCCATGAAGGATTTGGGTGATGTGTTTGTGTAAAAGGAATGCTTTTGAACAGAGGAGTTACTTTATCATTCAGAAAAAGGAAAGTGCACTTGTGTAGAAGAAAAATAAGACCATTAATGTGAAGTCAGGGGATCAACTAGGAGCCAGAGGAGACTGGCTAGGAGGTGAGAGTTTCAGCTAAAATGAATGGAAGAGAAATGGCAACACTGCATCATCTAATCCCTCTACCCCAGGCTCCTTGAGATGGTTTTCCCTGTGCCTTCTGTCAGACTGATTCACATCACTGTTTCTCTGGGCTCTATCTCCAAAACCCTTTACAGGAAATAATAATAAAAACTACATGGCTGACTAATTCTCTAGCTGGTCTAGGGTTCTGGAGGTGATTCTAGGGATTCATACACCCAGCCTCCCCCTGTAGGATAATTAGCCAGCCAGTTCTTCAAGTACCTAGATATTTCACTTAAACTAAAATTTCAAATTTATTGAAATATAATAGAAATACTTTGAGAAGCAGCAAAATAAGTTTCTTTTTATGGTAGTACTAAAGAATAGTAAAATAGCCAAATGCAAGCAAAAGACAAGGAGAGCCTGGAATAACTGTTTTCTGGTTGGGAATTTTGAATTGAAATTTGTTGCCTTCTTTTGCTCTCACAGGAGAGTGCCAAGAAGCACAAACTTCATCCTTTAGTCCCAGATTAAGGAATTTCTCTCCCAGATTAAGGGATTTTTAAAAAAAAATTTATTTATTATTATTATTTTTTTAAAGATTATTTATTTCCTCATACAGAACTGGGGTACAGGCCAGAGATGCGGTGGGTGAGAGGATTCACCAGAAACAGAGCGGGGAGCAGAATAGGCAGATCGATGAAGTACACTGCTGAGGGGAGCAGCAGGAAAGTCAGGAGAGGTCTGCCACGCCATGTGGTCACCTCCGGGGCAGGCAGGGATCGAACTCATGCGGAAGTGGCTTAAGCTTCTCAGTGCTGCGCTTTAACCAGCTGTGCCACCAGGGAGGGCCAATTAAGGGATTTCTCTGTGTTACCTTTTTTCACTGTCCTCCAATGAACAAAATGAATATTTATTTTCTTCTTTGAAATGCCATTTCCCACCTTTTGATAGTAATACTGCACTCATTTCTCTCCTAAAGTGGCTTGTACAATGGATTTCCTACAAAGCTGAAGGCGAGAGACAGGAAGGGATTTGCCATCAGTGTAAACCATGAGGTACCATATAGTGCAACCCCTGCACTGCTGTTGTTGGAAGCCAAGGACTCCATGGTCTCTCTCTGGAACTGAGTAAATACGGAGGGAAGGGATCTTCAGGGACAGCGCCCATCAACGTATCCACAGCATCACTATCCTTGTGGAGTCTGACATAATAGCGCTAGACTTGATCTGGCCACCAGTTCCCAACATCCTAGAAGAATCACCAAAAAGAGATGCCCACCAGTACCAGCAGCACAGTGTTCCAATGCTTAGAATAAATTAGAAAACACACAAAAAGAAGGAAAAAAAAATACAAATAACCAAACAAGCCCTCAGGGGAAGGACACACCACAAAAAGTAAATGAGCCGCCAGAATTCAACAACAACAACATGGAAGAAATGCTTTGCCTCCCAGATAGAGAATTTAAAATTATCATGATTGAAAAACATGAAGAAGATGAAAAGGAAAAGAAATCTATGAGAAACATAATTTATTAACTGAAGAATGAAACTGAGCCCTTAAAGAAGGAAATGAAGGAAATGCAGGAGATTAAAAATAATGGAGAAGCTAAAGAACTCTGGGAAAAGCAACAAAAAGAGAATTGATAAAAATGAAAGAATGAAGAGCATTTCTGTACTCTCAAAGATACAGAAATAAAAAGAATCAAAAAAGAAAATTAATGAGAAGTACAAAGGAAAAATAATGAACTTAAAGAATGATCTGACACTATGAAGAAAGGAAATATAAGAGTTACAGGAATCACAGAAGGTGAGGGGAGAAACCAAGGAACTGAGAAATTATTTGAATTAATTGAAGGGAATTTTCCATGCATGAAGAAGGAGTTGAAAGTACAAGAAGCATACCAAATTACCACAATGGAAGAAAACCTGCAGCAAGACACATAATAGAAAAGCTTCCAAGAGTCCAAGACAATGAAAAAATAATGAAGCTAATGAGGAGGAAGAAACAGATAACCTATAAAGGATAACCAATCAGGCAGACTTCTCGGAAGAAACATTATGGGCAAGAAGAGAATGGAGTGATACAGTCAACAAACCCAAGCCAACAAATGCCAATCAAGAATACTTTACCCTACAAAGCTCTCCTTCCACTATGAAGGAAAAATAAGCCCATTCTCAGACAAATAGAATCTCTCACAATTCATTATTAGTAACTCCCACTTTAAAAAGTACTACAGGAAATCTTAAAGTCAAAACCAATGGAGAAATGAATAAGAATAACAAAATAAGGCAAGGAATAAAATCAGAAAAAGACAAACAAAATAGAGAAACCTCCAGTTGTGCTCACAAAGAAAACAATGGAAGAAAACAAATAAATAGGATCATAAACGAAAGGAGAGAAATGACAACAGACTCAGCAGAAATCAAGAGAATAATCAGAGATTACGGTGAACATTTATATACAAACAAGTTCAACAATATAGAAGAGATGGACAAATTCCTAGAACACTACATTCAAAGTGAGATAAGGAATAGAACACGTAAACAGACCAATTACAAGTAGTGAAACTGAAACAGTAATCACAACCCTTTCAAGAACAAAAGCCCAGGACCAGACAGCTTCACAAATGAATTCTACTAAACATTCAGAAACGAAATAGTGCTGATCCTACATAAACTCTTTCAAAATATTGAGAAAGAAGGGATATTACCAAATACATTATATGAAGCCAATGTTACACTAATAACAAAAACAAAGACACACAAAAAAGGAAAACTATAGGTGGATCTCCCTAATGAACACTGACACTAATGAACACTCAATAAAATCCTAGCCAACAAAATCCAACAATATATCAAAAGGATAATACACCACCATCAGTGGGATTTATTCCAGGGGTACAAGGATTGTTCAATACTAAAAATCAATTAATGTAACCAACACATCAGCAAAAAAAAAAAAACAAAAACCCATATTATCATATCAATAGATGCTGAGAGAGCATGTGATGAAGTTCAACATCCATTTATGATTAAGGCCTTGAAATTCTCAGGATAAAAGGAACATAACATGATAAAAACCATACATGAAAAACCCACAGCCAACATTAATCTCAATGTTGAAAAAAATCATTCTCAAAGCTGAAAGCCTTTCCTTTAAGATCAGAAACAAGACAAGGATGTGCACTCTCACCATTACTTTTCAATATAATACTGGAAGTCCTAGCTAAAGTAATAAGACAAGAGAAAGTCATACAAGACATTCAAATAGAGAAAGAAGAAGTAAAATTATCACTATTTGCAGACAATATCAAAATATACATAGAGAACCCTAAAAACTCCACAGAAAAACTGATCAAAACAATCAACCAGCAGACCTCTCCTGTCTTGTCCATGGCTCCTTTTAGCAGTGTATTTCAGTGCGTTTGCTTGTTCTGTTGCCAACTGTCTCTGGTGGATCTTCTCATACACACCAATACCTCCAGCCTATGCCTCACTTTTTGTATGAATAACTAAATCTTTAAAAAAAAAAAAAACCTGTATGATACTGGGGAAAAAAAGCAGACACACAGACCAATGGAACTGAATAGGAAGCCCAGAAATAAAGCCATACATATATGGACAACTACATATATGGATAATACATACTAAAGGAATACTAGTCAGCTATCAAAAAAAGACAAACTAATGCCATTCAC